CAGTGCTTTTTCTTTGATATAAAATTTCTGTATCTCTCTCTGGAGAGAGAAGAAAATAATGTGTTCATCAAGTATAAAGAAAAATTGCTTGTAGACTAGATTTGACTAAAATATGTAGTAATCAATCATGTTCATCAGGGATATGAAATTACAAAATTACAGAAATTGAATAATAAGTATTTACTTAATAATGAAACCAATCCCCAAAGTGTATTCACGTCATGAATGGAGATCTAATTTTTGTGAATAGTCATTTACACCGCCCCCTCTTAACCCATACCGACCAGGATCCCACCACATACAGGCTTTGTCTGAGCCAAAAAACCAAAATAAATGTATGGCTTTAATGCTGGATCTAATTTTAGCCCTTCTCAACACGTTCGTAACCCCGATCATAATCTGTCATATAAAAGGAAATCATTTGGGGTAGTATTAATCATAGAAGTCAGGGCAGTTGAGGTTTGTAAAAAAAACTTTTAAATTGGTAAGTTAGCATAGAAACTAAAAGTCCACAGAAACAAAATTTGATTATACGCTATACCCATTTACAGTATTGCTGTTGGGCTCTAGCTCGTGATCAGGTACCTCCAAGCTTTTTCTATCTCCCTCCCCCCCCCCCCCCCCCCCCAAAAAAAAAAAAAAAAAAAAAAAAAAAAAAAAAATTAGGATTCATAGTTTGCAGTTATTTTTTTACAAGCACACATACCTCGAAAAGGGTTTTGCACGCTTACCATTGCCCCCTTGCCTCCAAGAAGTCATTCTATCTGTTTGGAGCCAGAAGGGCATTAAATCATACCTTTAACACAGATTTAACACCCTTTTGGTTCCCAACAGACGGTTACATCTACACTGCACACTATTCCATTTGTATTCTTTCAAACCTGATGATGAGTGTACTTGAAATGAATACAACGGATAGTGTGGTATTGTCCATATGAATCATCTAAAATATATCTGCTATTTATATAGATTTGTATCCGAATGGGAATGGTGCCAAAGCAGACACATACAGTATGTGTAAAACAGATTTAGCATGAGCATTAAATGGCAACATAAACCGCATTACAACTGTGTGGTGGAAACTTCAGTCAAATAATTCTTAACAAGTTTAGTGCCATAGGCCTTTTGAAACACTGAAATTGGATATTTCAAGTGATATATTATGACAAGTGTAATTTGTTTTTCTTCTAGAAATCTAATAATGATGATGATGATAATATTGGATGGTTTTTATAGCGTTCATATCAGGCGCGGATCCAGGATTTCTTAGGGGGGGGGGCCCAAATTTGAAATTTTGCGAGCCAAATATTGGTACGTAATGGTGACCAACAGTGACATAATGCGGGGGGGTCTGTGCAGGAAGGGGCGAGTTTCCCCCTCCCTCCTCCGCGAAACGCGGAAGCTTTGACGTTTTATTAACTTATTAGAGAAAGAAGACGATTCGTTGTACCGTTCTCGAAAAAATTCTCGTCTGAATTAAGTTTTTCACCTCCCGCGCGAAGCGCGGAAAATTTTACGATTTATTTAACTATTAGAGAAAGAAGACGGTTAGTTGTAGAGTTTTCGACTCTTAATCCTCGTCTGAATTCAGGTTCCCCCCCCTCTGCGCGAAGCGCGAAAGCTTTTAAGTTTATTTAACTATTAGAGAAAGAAGACGATTCGTTGTACCGTTTTTGAAAATAATCCTTGTCTGAATTTAGATTGTCCCCCTCCCGCGCGAAGCTTGGAAGCTTTTACGTTTCATTAAATCATTCGAGAAACAAGACGATGCGTTGTACAGTTCTCGACTCTTAATCCTCGTCTGAATTCAGTTTTCCTCCTTCCGCGCGAAGCGTGGAAGCTTTTACGATTCATTAAATCATTAGAGAAAGAAGACGATTCGTTGTACCGTTCTCGACTCTTAATCCTTGTCTAAATTCAGTCCCCCCCCCTCCCCCTCCTGCACGAAGCGCGGAAGCTTTGACGTTTCAATAAAATATTAAAGAAAGAAGACGATTCGTTGTACCGTTTTTGAAAATAATCCTCGTCTGAATTTAGATTTTTCCCCTCCCGCGCGAAGCGCGGAAGCTTTGACGTTTCATCAAAATATTAAAGAAAGAAGACGATTCGTTGTACCGTTTTTGAAAATAATCCTCGTCTAAATTTAGATTTTCCCCCTTCCGCGCGAAGCGCGGAAGCTTTTACGTTTCATTAAATCATTCGAGAAACAAGACGATTCGTTGTACAGTTCTCGATTCTTAATCCTTGTCTAAATTCATCCCCCCCTCCCCCTCCTGCGCGAAGCGCGTAAGCTTTGACGTTTCATTAAAATATTAAAGAAACAAGACGATTCGTTGTACAGTTCTCGATTCTTAATCCTCGTCTGAATTTAGTTTTCCCCCTTCCGCGCGAAGCGTGGAAGCTTTTACGAATCCTTAAATCATTAGAGAAAGAAGACGATTCGTTGTACCGTTCTCGACTCTTAATCCTTGTCTAAATTCAGTCCCCCCCCCCCCCCCCTCCCCCTCCTGCGCGAAGCGCGGAAGCTTTGACGTTTCATCAAAATATTAAAGAAACAAGACGATTCGTTGTACAGTTCTCGATTCTTAATCCTCGTCTGAATTTAGTTTTCCCCCTTCCGCGCGAAGCGTGGAAGCTTTTACGAATCCTTAAATCATTAGAGAAAGAAGACGATTCGTTGTACCGTTCTCGACTCTTAATCCTTGTCTAAATTCAGTCCCCCCCCCTCCCCCTCCTGCGCGAAGCGCGGAAGCTTTGACGTTTCATCAAAATATTAAAGAAACAAGACGATTCGTTGTACAGTTCTCGATTCTTAATCCTCGTCTGAATTTAGTTTTCCCCCTTCCGCGCGAAGCGTGGAAGCTTTTACGAATCCTTAAATCATTAGAGAAAGAAGACGATTCGTTGTACCGTTCTCGACTCTTAATCCTTGTCTAAATTCAGTCCCCCCTCCCCCTCCTGCGCGAAGCGCGGAAGCTTTGACGTTTCATCAAAATATTAAAGAAAGAAGACGATTCGTTGTACCGTTCTCGACTCTTATTCCTTGTCTGAATTCAGGTCCCCCCTTCCGCGCGAGAAAGAAGACGATTCGTTGTACCGTTCTCGACTCTTAATCCTTGTCTAAATTCAGTCCCCCCTCCCCCTCCTGCGCGAAGCGCGGAAGCTTTGACGTTTCATCAAAATATTAAAGAAAGAAGACGATTCGTTGTACCGTTCTCGACTCTTATTCCTTGTCTGAATTCAGGTCCCCCCTCCCGCGGAAGCTTTTAATTTTCATTAAATCATTAGAGAAAGAAGACGATTCGTTGTACCGTTCTCGAAAATAATCCACGTCGGAATTTTGTTCCCCCTCTATCCCGCGCGAAGCGCGGAAGCTTTTATGTTTCGTTAAATCATTAAAGATTCGTATTATAGTTCTCGCCTCTGGATCCTCGTTTGAATTCAGGTTCCCCCCCCCCTCCCGCGCGCAAAGCGCGGAAGCTTTGACGTTTCATTAAGATTAAGAGAGAAAGAAGACGATTTGCTGTACCGTTCTTGATTCTGAATTTCAAAGATATCCTTTGTCTGCTCCTTTTTCTTCCTACGCCCCCGCCTGGCTACGTGCCTGCGGTCCGATAAACATATTTTGATACCTTGTCCGACCCCGCAAGCTCAGGGGTTTAAGGCAATAATTTACGGTCAGATAAGCATTCAGGGGCCCGCCTTAGGGCCCCTGGTGGGGTCGAGACGGCGGAGCCGGCCCCGGAAGCTCAGGGGTTTTAGGCGTTTAACTAAGGTCCGATGAGCTTTTTTTTTGTATACCTTATTTTTTTTGTGACACTGGTAGGACACTATTGGCGTGGGGTACAGGGGGCAGAGCCCCCCCCCCCCAAATCAGGGGTTTTAGGCATTAAATTACCGTCAGATAAGCATCTATGGGCCCCCGTAGGGCCCTATAGGTGGAGTCCATGGGGCAGAGCCCCCGAAGCTTAGGGGTTTTAGGCATTTAATCCAGTTCAGATGAGCATATTTTGATGCCTCATTATTTTTTAACACGGGCAGTTAACTATTCTCTCTTTCTTGCTCTCATTCTATTTTATTTCTCTTTATTACACTTTTTCAAAAAAAGTGTAGGGGGTGGAGGGAGCTCGAGGCTCCCGATTCCTGCCGTACCTCGGGCCCTGACATGTAGGAATCTCAAGAATCATATTTCTTGCCTGGCTGTAAATTTAGGAATTTGTCATTTTCCAACAAACACATACAAACGTATAATTTACTAAAAAGTGAGAAAAAATCTCGGAAATTAAGTAATTTCAGCATTATTTGTAATCCACGGTTGTGGAATTAGAAATAAACCACGTTTGAGTTTGATTTCCCCCAAGCCCCCCCCCCCCCCCCATCAGTACGCAAGTATCTCCTCTTTTCCTTTTTTCTTTCCCTTTCCTTCCTTCTCTCTTATTTTTTTGATTTGGGGGGGGGGGGTCAACAGCCTGGGAGGCAAGGCTCTTTCGGCCCCCCCCCCCCCCCCCGATCTTCTTCTTTCCCCTTTTCTTTTTTCTTCCACTTTTTTCTTTCCCTTTCTCTCTTCTTTCCCTTTCCCTTCTTTTCCTTTCTTCTCTCTCTTTTTTTTTTTTTTTTTTTTTTTTTTTGCGGGGGGGGGGGGGGGGGGCCAAGGCCCGCTCGGCCCCCCCCCCCCTGGATCCGCGCCTGGTTCATATCCACCATGCAATGTGCTATAAAGGCATTCCATTGTTTACAATGCCTTCTTGGATTGTGAAACACATATAGAACTGATGTTTTTGCAACGATAAAAAAAAAGGGCATTAAATAATTGAAAGTATATTTCATTCAATTGTACTTGTGATTAATGTTCACGATTGACAGATTTGTGTACATGTACATGGAGACTCATTTTTTCGGTCATTCACTATCCATTAATTTAACCTTTCCAGTATTATACATTACTGAATTTGAGTATTTATAAGAATTAAATAATTTACGTTTATTTTTCCTTTTAACAGAACTATCACCTGATGCACCCAAGTTTCAGTTCTCTGTCTGTGAGGAAGTGGACTTTATGATGCTCGGCTCCTTGGGATACCATGATATCAGGGAGATAGATAGCCAGCTGATAGCAGAACAACTCACACAGATGGAAGCTGTAAGTAGTTGTATTGTGGTATTACCACTACCACTACCAATAATTGGTAGTGGTACATGTAGTGGTAGTGGTATTGGTAGTGGTACATGTAGTGGGAGGGCAGTGGTATTGGTATTGGTATTGGTATTGGTATTGGTATTGGTGGGGGTAGTGGTAGTAGAAGGCCAGTGGTAGTGGTAGTGGTAGTTGTAGTGGTAATTGAACTGGTGGTTCGGTAAAAAATAATACAATTTTCCCTTGTAGAGAAAATTGATCAGGGAGCAGTTGTCTCTAAAACATAATGTAAAACCAGTTATTAGAAATGCTTTGATACAGTGGACAATTTTTGATGTTATATTTGCAAATTGCATTTATTACATTTTGTTAGGTAGAGCAAGCCATTTTGTTTGTCCTACTTAGCAACAACTAATATATGCAAATTGCTTTCTGACCATTGAAATACAATTATTTGTAACATATGAATGAAATAATTTGCCTCAAGTCACTTCACAAAGACGCTTGCATTAAAGTTGGTTACATTAATGAAATAGCCTATTTGATTGCATTCCCTAATGAACCTCACTAATGGGAATTCATCTCTCCCCAATTGGATATTGGACGTGCTTTTGTCAACGTTTAGATGACGTGTTCTACGGCTAATTTTACATTAGTGGTTAAAGTGGTTAACCTCATCAGGTGGTCCTGTCACATGACCTTACTTTCAACATCACTATTATATACTTGCGTGATGTATTTTGGAATAATACCTGTACCATGATTCAATCTCGAGCTCAGATGTAGTCCCTCAGTACTGCTTTCACGTGGTGTGGTTAGGGAAATGCCTATACTATTTTTGTCTCTTCTCGGATACCCCCTTCTTTATTTTTGTGATGTGTAAGTTAGTGCTGTTTTTAGAAAGTGCTTCATCACTCAACTGTTTAGTACCTCTTTAAACACACTTTCAATTTTGTATATGCTAGTCACTTTTTTTGGCTAAAAATAAACAGGAGCAGTGAGTTATTTATTGTGGAAAGCTAAAAGTAGCTCTAGTTAATTTGAAAATAGTTCTGGTTTGAAATATTAAAAATGTACATAAAATACCACAAGGTGATTGCAGTATTAGTGCAATAATTAGTGCTGTATTGATAAATAAGCTTCTTTTACTTTGCTCTAGTACAATTGTATACATGCATGCAAATGTATTGTTTATGATACATTTAAGTCAGCAATTACTTGCTAAATTACTTTTATTTTATGAAATGATTTGTATCATGTTCTATAGTACCATTTTGTGTAATGTCAGAAATAAGAGGACGATACCTCTGTGTGCCTTGCAGTAGTCTTCCTAGCATTATTTTGTAAAAAATTGAACATGAGATGATAACTTATTACCATTTCCTCTGTTATTTCTGTCATCTTACAGGATCTCTTTCGGAAGGTCATCCCTCAGCACTGCCTAGGGTCTATCTGGTCAAGGAGAGACAAGAAGCATGGCGTTGACCCCATGACGGTCGCAGCAACGGTCAACCAATTCAATGACATCACCATGAAGGTCATGTCGACCATCTTAGAAGAGAAGTCTCTAAGACCAATGACGAGGGGTCTCATTATCACCAAATGGATCGATGTCGCCCAGGTAATAGATATAAATTGTTTTTTTCAGCCATTAGCTAGTTCGGTTGGCACATTTTAGGCAAAAAATGTCATGTTTTCATGAGATATTAGAGAGATCATTGCAAATTGTAGTTTGTTACTTAAAGACTGTTTTGTTGTTGTATGGGAAGCATTGAAAGTGACCCTCAAATAACCTTTCCTATATAGTTTCAGATTTCATCACGTGCCGTGAGAATAAATTTCAGTCAAAACATTTCAGGCTTTCATGATTTAATGCACAAACTTGGTGAAGTTTCAAGCTGTGGATACATGCACATGTCTGTAATATATCAGCTCACAGACCGATCGCATGATTGGTAATGTTGTGATTTGGATGTTGTAATAGGGATGTTTTGATCAGGATGTAGAAAAAGATCGGGTATATCATCTGGAATGATCTCTAAGCTGAAATTACAACTCATGTTGATATTTGTATCCTCTCGCTAGCAAAACAACATGGGTCAATTAAGCAATTGACCTTCATCTCACTTTTGCCTACAAATAAGGAGTAATAAATAAATATATGGAATTTGATGTGTGCAGGTCAGATCTTATGCATTTTATGTTATTATATACATGTAAGTCAAAGTTAAATGATATTTAATTCTATTGGTAGACATTGTAAATCTAAATGTGATGCATTGATAAATCCAAGACTTCACACTTAAACTTCCTTAGTGAGCAGTCTTGCAGTAGGAAGTCCAGAATGAAATGTTAAGGGTTTGTGCTCATTATGCCCCTATTAAAAGTTAGAAATGGGAAGAGGGGTGGGGGTCTTAAGTTAAAATTTGGGGTACTTGTGCATCAAGCCCCTTTGAATGGTTTGCTCTGATTAATTGCAAAGCCTGCTCGATAGTGGATTACTAGGAGAAAAATAATAGATTATTGGACATTTCAGACTAATAGTATTGTACAACATTTGGGAAAAAACATCAATGAGGTCACAATTCAAATTATTTCATCATGAGGTTTAACCCATAAAAGCTCAGTATATACAGTAGGTATATGAATGATGCCCATGTGCTTTAATGACCCTTTTATCACATAATTGTATCACTTTCACAATGAAAGATTTCAGTATGATTCATCAGGCCAAGTTCATTCAGTTTTGATGTTAGTTTCAGGTTTATCCACTAACTCGTGCAATACCCAGACAGTACAATATTACACAGTAAACACACAGAAAGCATGATATACTATGAGAATAGAAACTCTCAATACATGCCACTTGTATGAAATCATAGAGGGATCACAGTCAAAGTGCTATTTAACATTTTGACAGGGCTTTGTAATACACAAGTAATTGATAAAGATATTTACACAAATTTAAACCATGAAAAACAAGTAAAATATCTTTCACAAATATGATGTACATGTAGATGTAATTACTAATGAACGTTATGATGGTAAATTATTGCTCTCATTGTCTTTGTGCATTTGACAAAAGGAGTTAAAAGACAATGTTGTAATTTTGATAGGATAATTCCAATGAATAGATAGATAGATATTTAGTTTTATTCAAGTACTGATTAAAAAGTCCGAAGACTAAACAAGCCAGTTTACAATATAAAATGCATAACAAAAAATATAACAAGGTAAAAAAAAACACATGGATGAATTAAATCATTAATAAGTAAAAAAAAAATATAATAAGTATATAAGTATATAATAATAAGTAAATAAATAAGTATATACAATTACCATAAATAATTATATATAATACGATCATTGCTACAGTGAAAGGACTTGGAATTCAAATTAGAAACAAATTAAAACAGCTTTGGGAGATCATACAATTACCATAAATAATTATATATATGGATTTGTCAAAACAATCTTTTGATACACAATTCAGCCATACTCATATTCACATTGTGCATTTCATTGTTCTTATATCCATTGCAGCATTTTAATGATACCAAAATCTCAACAAAACTATATCCATTTAATAATTTGCTTCTATGATGGACAATATTTTGGAAATTATTAGAATGCCATCCTCTAATATAAACATCATCCTGATGATGAACTTTCAAACATGTTTTTCTTTGTGCACTTAATTTTATTTCTTTCATTCATGCAGTGCAATTTTTTTGTAATAACGGGTAAACTTTATCTTTATCTTGTATTTTCTAGTCATGTAGAGAGCTGAAGAACTTCTCAGCTTTGAAAGCGATCATCTCGGCCCTACAGTCTCATCCTATTCATAGGTTAAGAAGAGCATGGAGTTCAGTACCCAAGTAAGTCGGCGCAAATTTGTCATCTTGTAGAAGGAAAATTGTTCTTGACAGCAGTGTTCTCTCATGAATGAGATTTTTTTGGTTGAAAACACCAAGTATGAACAGAGAATGAACTTGAAATGCTGCAGCTGAGGAAAGGTGGATTGGGATATTTTCAACCATTTCACTTGATAACAATTAACTGATCTATTTGATTTAATTAAAAATTTAATAGTAGTTTCTATTGCATTTTAAAACTTCTACAACGTTTGTCACCTACTCATTAACTAAAATAACTCATTGCAAAATAATGCATGGCAAAGAATCTAGATGTCGTAATATTACACATTGAAAATAGACTTAATCTCGTTAATATCTTACAGAGTCAATTGGCAACAATATTTTGTACATATTCTACACGATCACATGTAGGTGTCCTAGATACTCTTTTATGAGTTGTTTATGAAACAGTATATTTGCCATCATTGATTTATTTCTAATGTTGTTTTTTTTCAGAGCAAGCATGGTACTGTTTGAAGATCTTGCCAATATCTTTTTAGATGACAACAATTTTGAGACGTGGAGAGAAATCATCAACAAGGTATAATAATTAGTCATAATTTCTTTGATAAAGTATATTAGTTTCCTTTCAGTGATTTGACATTTACTCATATGTAGCTGTGCTGTTATGAATGCATGATATCCATAGCAACACATTTCACAAATATATTTGCGAAGAGTGTGAAATCATTTTGTGACTGAATGCTGAGATGTAGAGTGCAAAGTTACATTATATTTATAGATGTGTTATATTTTAGATGTGTGTACTTAAACATGTAATACTTTAGATGTTAAAGTAGAAGAAATATACAACTGTCGCTGGTTCTAAGATGAATGTAAATTTATTCAGCCTCTTTAAAATTATTTTGTGTTATAGAAAATATAAAAAGACATATTTTGTGCTACTGGTCTTAATTAATTATGTATCTTTCTCTTTCCTAAAAAACACAGGAAGGTACAGCCAAGTTTGCCACGGTTTCACCGAGGAGCAGCAAAAAAGTGACGCGGTCATTACGCAAAATGATGAGCTCAGATAAACTGGTAGTACAGAGGAGAGACTCGGTAATTATATTATTCAAATTATCCCCCCAAATGTGGAAATTCACTTAAATCGGGGAAAAATAAAGATTATCATTTTCGTCTTCCTCAAATGTATAAATTACTGTTAAGATTTTGTATACATTTTAAATTGTATTCGTTATTATGAATTGTATTTTGTTGGAAATGAAAAAATAAGAAATAAATGAAAATGAAATCATTGGTCCCAAATGAAAGTAGTCAGTGTCTTGTGTTTTGTGTCCAGGCAGTATCCCCTTGATGATTTTCTTTGATGGTATTTTAGTGTGTAACAAGCCCTCATTAATGATCCTGAGATTTTGAAACTCCACCTGGGTGAAGTCAGGAAAAGTCAGAGGAAAATCAGGGGAAATAGGGTAAAGGAGGGAAGAATCAACAAATTTGTTTTCAGGATATGCTAGGAACCCTACCTCAAAGATAGTGTGTGAAGTGATGTTCACATTCTTTATTCTTCATAACTGTTAATGATATATATATATATAAATTATTGTTTTTTAACTTTTCTTCTTGTTAGTGGCATAGCAAAGTGAATGGGACGGTGCCGTATCTTGGGACATTCCTGTCAGATCTAATCAAGATAGACTCAGCCTTCCCTGATACAGTAGAGGATGGACTCATTAACTTTGAGAAGAAGAGAAAGGTACCGTATTCAGTTCATTCTCATCAACTCTGAATCTTGAAATGATAATCCCTTTCTGGGGGTTTTTCACATGGATCCTAAGTTGAACTTATCTCTAAGTTGGTCTTAACAATTATGGAAAGCCGTTCGCATCCTTGAAAACATATTTGTAAGGGTTATTTTAAAAGGCATAAAATGTAGATTCAAATTATTCATATTTTCTATTATCATGGGAGATTTCATGTTCTTGATGGGGACTTTATGAAAAGTCTAAAATACTTTTGAATATATTTCATTATAAGGCTACAAATGGCTTTCCATAATATTAAGTCTAAGTTAGAGTTAAGTTCGACTTAGAATCTTTGTAAAACACCCCCCAGTTGTTCCTAGCAGCTACCCCATGATTGTAATATATGCTGTGCCTCAGTGTGAGGTGTCACAGTGAAGTAATTAATTACATTTCCACACATATATGTACAATGAGATGTGATCATGCACCGTGCTAGTAAAACATGCCTCTCTGTTTATAGTATGTGGGACCGAAAAGGAGGCTGCATCACAGGAATGACCGTTAGTGCCGCCTCGCTAATTGTACCGGTAATTGGTGATTTGACAACTGGTAGATGGTTCCAGATTCTCATTATTTTTGTGTTTTTAGTGTTACCGTGTACCAATGTGATGATTTCTTTTACATAGGCATCCTCATTTCTAAGTGATTTTCTTTGAAATACATTTTTTTTAATTCTCTACTTATTCCTTAAAGGTAAAGACCAGTTATGGTCATGCGATTGCATTGTGAAAGAAACGTTGTGGAATCGATCAGAAAAGGTTGATCATCTAGCATCTAGCATCTGCAAGGTTCTGGGATCATCAAAATGATAAGAAATTTGGCCCATTCTTCGTAAAGTTACAAGCACTATACGCAGAAAGATGTATATGGGACTACCCTATATCTCTCACAGACCATGAGAGAAACAAATTTACCAAATATATGAATTAGTAGGCAGTTTCCCGGCAAATTTTTTATCATCATGCATTAGTCAAAACATATTCTTTCACATGATTGGTAATGAGAGCTTCCATTTCATTTTTTGAAATTGGGGCGTTTCCAATACTGGTCTTTACCTTTAAGGCTTCCAAGTTTACCTTATACCTTAAGTAGTACACAACAGAATAAAGTAGGCATTGCCATGTACCAGCTAGTTCAAGGTTATAACCAATCTTTACAATCCATGATTTCTTTCTCTTGTGCCATAGGAGTTTGAAGTGATAGCTCAGATCAGATTACTCCAGATGGCAAGTAAGAGCTATCAGATTCTTCCAGATGATAAGTTCTTGGACTGGTTTAATGACATCAAAGTTCTCTCGTACCAACAATGGTAAGTTTTTGTTTCTAATACAGGGAATTTTCTTACCTAACATGTATATTTTGATTTTTTGTAATAGCTTATAATTTCATTTACCTTATATTTGATGTGCAATCTAATTTCCATGTAAGGTGTTTATTTTGTTAAAAAAAAAAATTAATAAGTAAATGATATGCAGGGGGTGGGGGGGGGGGTACAGGTTTATATTCTAAATAAATGAAATGCGAATGAAGGAGGTGACCAAGTTTGCATTGGATGAGAACAACAGGGATCGATGCAATCATTTTCTTCTTACATTTCCTCTCACCTTTCCCTTTCAATCTCCTTGTTTCTTTTCTCTTTTTCTCTCTTTTTTTTCTTTCATTTTTTCCTTTTTTCTCTCTTTCATTCTTATAGTCTTTCTTTCATTTATTCTTTCTTTCTTTTTTATTTTTTTTTCCTTCTCTTTTTCCTTCTTTCTTTCTTTATTCATTCATTCATTTATTTTTGGGCATTTGTTTGGGCGCTGTCATAGTATGATTATTGATTGATTCTGCTTTACCATCTCTGCATATAGCTGCACATTATCAGATGAGATGGAGTCACCAAACATCATGCCAAGCTCTGCTCCTTCCACACCAACTATGATGAAAACAGAGAAGCCCAAGACTTACAGGTAAATAAATCTTTAACAATACTAATAAAACTTACATGTATGCAATACCTAAAATTGCCTGATTCGTCTATATCTTGATATTTAGTATTTTTGGACTGCATTGAGAGAATCTGTCCAGGAGTTGCTTTAACTTGTTCATATAGGTAGCATGATGGCTGAGTGGTAGAGCAGTGGTCTCCTAACCGGGAGGTCCTTGGAATGAAACCAAGTCGACATGTTAGTGCCCTTTGGTAAGGCATTGGTAAGGCATTTGTTATATTACCAAGTCCCTCGGAGAGGACTTAAAGCCGTTGGTCCCCTGTTTGCTTACTTACACATATGCACATGCTTTTTCAGCAGTCAGGTAAAAAAAAAAAAACGCTGAAAAAAAAAAACCAATTGTCATTGGAGTAGAAATATTCAATATCCTGGAGAATTCTCTGTCAGTAAATTTAAAGAATGATGGAAATCTTGCGGAAAATGGAACACATTGAAATAGGATGCATTGGAAAGAGCACACAAACATTTGCATACAGGGTTCTGGGTTGGGTATTATGTGAAAACTATTAAATATATTGATATAATGATGTTTACAGGCAAAGAAGAATTTTGATAATATGCAGGGTTCTGTTAAACAATTTTCTCCACACTTTGATTCAGTATGTATTAGCAATATTTTATGTTATTTTGTTGCTTTTAAGCTATTGAACATGTTGAATAATTACACTAATTTAGACAGTAACGCCTGTATAAAGCGCCCTATAAATGTAATTATTATTATTATCATTATACTGTTTAATAACTCTTAATCTACACCCAAATGCTTAATTAATCTACCCTACCCTAGTCCTACTAAAGAATCTCCACCTAGAGCTGCACGCAGAAGACTGTACCCTCATTTCCATCTTGGTAACCGGACACGCCCAGTGTCCACCCCTCCCCGCCCCATGTCAATGCTCCTAACCTCTAAACACAGCCCCAATGACCCAGACGAGGTCAGTCCAGAGACCAGACCCCCCTCGAGGTCCGTCTCGGGCTTCACAAGACCTCTCTTCCCCACCCTCTGCTCCTCTCTCTCCCCTCCAAGAACCTGTCCCAACCCTAGTTTCTTGCTTACCCCGCTCTTACGTAGAAAGTTCTTCAGCTTCACCGCCGAGGACTTCAAGAATAGGACGAGCACCCACAGCACGACGGCAAGCACGACTTCGACGTCGAACTCCAACACGAACAGCAGCAATGGGGAGCGTCCGTGCCGCGTCAGGACCGGGCCAGAAGCTAAGAATCACAGTAGCACTAGCAGTATTAGCAGCAGCAGCTCATCAACGCCGTCATCAGATGACAGCATGAGCATCGCAAGCATCGACAATCAGCTACCTACCTCGGTACATTCAACGTCATCGACATCATCGTCGACGGCATCGGGTTCGACGTCTCTGTCAATGTCAACCATGTCTTCCTCAGCAGAAACTGCCAGCAGAGATTCAAGTCTGTTGTCAGTTGAGAATAGTCCAGCTAAATCTCCAAGGGTAAGATATGCTGAAATGTTTCTCTTACCTTGAAGTGATCAATGGGGGCAAGAAAGCTATTTCACTATGGTTAGAAGTATCATGTAATATTTGTTGTAGGGTTATGAAAACAGTTTAGTTGTTTATGACTTGGTTTAGTTGATAACCCTGATGGTTTGAAGTAAATTGAATTGAAAAGTAAATTGAAAAGTTGTGAAAATTAAAGTGCTAAACTCATAAACCCTTTTCAGATTATATGTATTAAAGGTAAAGACCAGTATTGGAAACGCCTCAATTTCAAAAAATGAAATGGAAGCTCTCATTACCAATCATGTGAAAGAATATGTTTTGACTAATACATGATGATAAAAAATTTCCTGGGAAACCGCCTACTAATTCATATATTTGGTAAATTTGTTTCTCTCATGGTCTGTGAGAGATATAGGGTAGTCCCATATACATCTTTCTGTGTATAGTGCTTGTAACTTTACGAAGAATGGGCCAAATTTCTTATAATTTTGATGATTCCAGAACCTTGCAGATGCTAGATGATCAACCTTTTCTGATCGATTCCACAACGTTTCTTTCACAATGCAATCGCATGACCATAACTGGTCTTTACCTTTAAGGTTAAAACTTCTGCAAGCACTGGTTGGTACATGCACATAGAAAAGAATGAAAAGGAAATTTTGACAATAAGAAAATGTATCCATATTTGTAGGTAAGTCTATAATAATAATAATGATATATAACATTTATTAGGCGCTTAATACAGGTGTTTCTAAGCGCACCATTGTCTGACTTAAGAGTCTACCATTAAGAGTTAAATTAAAATCAATTTAAGTTACATAAGGGAAAAATTATGTTAATTAAAATGAAATTAACATAGGGATACTGTAAGAAGAATCATACTGTGTTATTTACAAACCAATACATTATGCCCATTTAGGTTCTTGAGAAGAGCGAGATCAACCAGGTGATGCCTTTACTTTAATGGATATTCTTTCCTCTTGCTATCGTCTTTACAGGCCTTAAAACCATCTCTTTCGCTGAACTCCCTGCCGACCCTAGTCCGCCGGAGCTCTCTGACACCCACCAGCTCTCCAGGCATTGGTTGGGATTCACCCTCTCATTCGTGTCGCATCATCAGGGTCGGTCTGGATGAGCAGGAGGGAGACGGAAACATCTACAGGAGTCTTGTGGTAAGTGGCTTGCCTTGATAAAGAAGAAGTCCTGCCTATATCAGACATCAAGCTTATGGAATTAGAGTATAAAAGCAGTACTACAAAATCTCACCGACTGGGTGTTGTGGCATGCGCCTGTAATCCAGCTAACAACGGAAGTTACAAACTGATTCAGCCAAGCACGCAGGTTCAAAACTGAGTCACGTCTTTTGGATGGTGACGTTACAGGTCGGTCCCCAGATGTAAATAATCATATCTGATTGATACACGTCTGTAAAACCCAATACTCATACACATACACACACACACACACTGCCTCTGACTAATGAGTTGATCTAGCGGTACGTTCACTTGGTTTGCTCTCTGTCTTCACCTTCAAACTGACTCGAACAAACTCCAGTTTGAAACTGAGTCTTTAACGCACACACTCACACACTCACTGCCTAAAGACATGCTTTGATTCTTCAACTGAATATTAAGTAAGGACTGCAATAATCTGAAAGTAGGGTACTTTTTGTCACAAGATCAAGATCAAATCAAATCAGATCAGTATATGCAGAACTTGAGGATTTTTTTCCTTGTTTTGGCATCAGCTAGATTGAAAGGGATGTTGATTGCTTACATTCTCTTTTGACGTAATATGGGGTTATTTAGAAACCCTGCTCTGGACACTGAGATATGGCATGATCAAGAATTAAATATTTTGAAATCTTGTGATTCAGTTATACTTTCAAAGAATAATGTCTCAGACTAATGTAAAACTTCTAAACTGAGAATTGACTCATCTTGCTGTTGTTTTTATACGTTCTTCACATTTCTTTTGTAAAGATTACTCATCAAGAGCACACACCAAGCATCATCAAGAATGCTCTAACGAAACACCACACGCCAGAGCCTTGGGACTACCGTGATTTTGAGCTCATTCAACTACTAGATGAAAAAGGTAAATTAGGCCTAAAAAATAAAGATGTTGTATTGCCCTATAGGTGCCAAAACATGGGTCGGTCGGAAATCTTCTTTTTGTAAAAAAATATTTCTTTTCTTTTTTTCTCCCTCTTTGAGCTGATATTTCTCAGTTTTGAATGCTTTAATACAGTATGTTTTCTTCATTAAAATTTTTTTTTTTTTAAAGGCTGACCGTAGATTTCAAGATTTTGGGGTCGGTCCCAAAGAGCAATACAACATTTTTTTTTACGCCTTATGATCCACCATTGATGTGTAGAATTGAGAACTGAAGGACAGTCTAACAGACTATCCAGCATCTAAGGAGCTTTGTCACAAAGATCCTTTCTAATGTTTTGGAACAACACAATAACCGACGGGCCCCGTCTTATAAAGAGTTACGATTGATCCAAATCAATCGTAAGTCCTCCAATCAAACGCAAGTTTGCAGTCTCCTATCTCTTATGTACATAGTTACGATTGATATCATCGCACAAAAGTTGCGATTGATATCAACTCTTTATAAGACATGGCCCAGAATATGTATTTTTATCAAGTTACATATTGCATTGCTACTACACTTATGCAATGATAACATACTTGTACTAATAATGGTATTCTGCTTCAAAGTTTCCTTTCAATTTTCTTTGAAGAGTATCAGATACATTTATGGACAATGCACTCACTTAGTATTTCTTAATCTAATGTATTATATAGCATCTTGATAGAAAAGAAGTAGGAAAGATGGTCCAAGAGTTAATGAATCAAGTCAACAAGTTCAACCATACAACCAATCCACGAATGTTTAGGTGTGGTAACAAAAATTGAAATAATTATTCTGTTGACTAAAAACTCTTTCATACATGTATGATTATACTTGATTAGAGCATTTCCATTAGCCATTGCATCTGTAATGCCCTTCTGGGACCCGTTCTACAAAGCCTTTTTTCAATGACAAATGACAAAAATCAGTGACAAATCTGCTGATAACCAATCAGAAGCCAGGATTTCAGTAGCTTATAACAAAAAATGTCATGTCAAGTTTTGTGAAACACCCCACTGGTTGTCTCTTATCAATGCAATATCAAATCAACCCCTCTTTAATTTTTTTGCTTTCTTGTTTCCTTTCCTGCCACCATAGAACTCATCATACCTGCAGATGCTAATGTCTTTTATGCAATGAACACTGCCGCACAGCCTCATTTCCTTCTCCGCAAGAAGGTAGGAGACGGTGAGGAATCCAGCGCGAGCAGCAAGAAGAAAAGTGTGCGTGGAGGCAGCCAAAAGGGGTCAAAACGCCTCCACATCAAGCGCATGTCATGGGTCAAAGTTCGTGAGGAAGCCAGGTGAAAGGTCAAAGATGCCAGCCTGCATCTATAAACCAAGGCATGTTTCTTCATCATAAGTGTCGAGTGCGTTATCATCATTATGAAAACTAGCATAGAGGTTGCTATCATCGATGTGAAAAAAACACGCATGGAGAATTCATCTTGCCACGAAGGATGTTCCCTAAAATGACGATACATGTCACAGTCGGTAGCAGTGGCCATTGGGTCTGTGGAAGGATGGATGTTCCCTAACCTGTGAGGGGATATCTATTAAACTACTGTACGGTAGTGACAGCATGCATTCCGAGTCCACAGTATCAGTACTGTGTAGAGGGCAAACGTAGAGCATAGAACTTTTCACGAAGATGTTTGCTTTTGTGAAGAAGGCAGTGGGGATAAGCGAATTTGTCATTCAGAATGTTTATGGAGTTGATGCTAGTTCCTTTGACATTCCTTTCAGTGTCAGTGTTTTATTGAAAACCAAGTTAAAAGTTTTTTTTTTTTAAATATCACATTACAGTTGATTCCCTCCTGTATACAATTTCCATTTAATAGAGAACATAGTAAAATACACTTAATAATATTGCTGCCTTTTTTGTCTAGTAATCCCAATTCATCAAGTGAAAGAAATTACGTAACATTTTGAATCTCATTCAGACTTGACACCCCCAGAAGAAAAATAAGAGGAAAATAATCATGGCAAAAATAGGAACCATTTCATGTGTCAATGAATTGCAAGAGGCATTGTGGTAGGGATATTAAAGGGATCGTTTTACAATGTTAAATCTGAGATGCACGGCCCTACGTGTTATCAGTGCATGTGATATGGTGTTATATTGAAGCCCTAAAGAAATTGCGCTTCAAAATGATCAAGAAGTGCCTCAAAAAAGTAAAACTCTTTGAGTGACTGTAGTGTTATGAAAACCGTTTGGTTTCGAAATTTGATTTCGATTTTCAATCATAAATATCTTGATAATCAGACAGGTCATTGGCTTGTAAAAGTCATGGGGTTCCTGACTGACCTACAGGTTTATTATTATCATTGCAGCATGAGCTAAATCAAGAATTTTTTTAAGAACCTAAACCCTTTAACAAGAGCTACAAGTATAATTTGAGCTGGTTTACTTTGAATTATGGAGTGTTTTTATTTCTTTTGGCCGCTTGATTGGCTCGTTTCACTCTGATTAGGAATGATGAGCTGTCATTCTGATAAGTGGGTATTTATGTTTCAGAAATCAATTTTTACGATGTTTCACCCAATTAAAATATTAAAACAGAAAATGAAAATTCAGAGTTTTGTCTATAGTTTTAGTCATCCATGTGAATAAATTTCATAATTCAAATGAATCATGTTTTCAGGAAGAAAATCTGTTGCCACTTTTAGACCCAAATCTTGGATGAGTTTTTAAAACTTATGATTTGGAAGGGTTGGACATGAAAGAACCAGTTCTAACAAATGGAAGTAGGTAGATGGGAAGTTTAAAATTTCCCTCACTTTCAAAATCAATCATTTATAATGCTAAGGATTTTCTTTATCTTTTTCTATGACTGCTGCTCCTTTGTCACCTAGTCTTGGGCAATAGAACCATTAAAGCATGTGGCATTAATAGGAGGAGGCGCGATAGCTCAGTTGGTAGAGCAGTGGTCTCGTAATCCGGTGACCCAGGTTCGAAACCAAGGAGATGCGCTAGTGCCCTTTGGTAAGGCATTAATCCTCATTACTAGGTTCCTCGGAGAGGACGTAAAGCCGTCGGCCGTCTGGTTGCTTACAAGCATTTATGCTTTTTTAGCAGTCAGGTAAAATAACCATCACCACCAGTGACTGACTGATATCAATTTTTAAGGTCTTTCTGATCATACTTTTGTTATAAGATTGCTGCTCAAAATATTCTTATTCTTCCATTGCCAATTTTTGAAAGCTTTTCTCTTTCAACTAGTGCCTCTTGAACAACAAAATCAATCAGTCTTTATCAAATATGGTGTAACATCAATTTTCAAGGTTTTTTTCTTCCATTCTCTTGTCATGATATTGCTCCAAATACTGTTATTTCTTCCAAAGTCAATTTTAGAAAGTGGTTCTCCTCCATTTTGTGCTTCCTGAACAAAACAAACAATCATCCAATCAATGGTGTGATAGCCATTTTTCAAGGTATTTTGTAATCATTTTGTCATGATATTGATGATCAAAATGTTATTATTCTTAGCCAAGGGCAATTGTTGCCTCATTTGTGCCTCCTGAACAATACAATCATTCAATCATTGTGTAATATTCAATTTGAAGATATTTTTAAAATCATTTTGCTATGATATTGCAACTCAAAATAGTCTTATTTTTCAAAGCCATTTCCCCAAAGTTAATATATTACAGTTAATAATAGATAACTTGGGGACCATCCACTATCCTAATCTGTTTATATGCATGTATTTTATGTTTATGTTATTGTGTGAAGCATCTTATGCATTTTATATGGGTATCTTTTTAATGCCAATCTTGCCTTTTTTTCATGAAAATTCACAGACACACACTTTTTCGATATTACATAATTTTACAGTAACACCGTTTTGCAAGGACAGTTAATTCTTTAATGGTAAAAAATCTGTTTTCAGAAAAACTGGTCTTCACGTACTTCAATGAATTAAGTACTTTCCAGAAATCTCTAGGTTTTCTTTGAAAGAAAGAAATGGAGCTTGATGTTTTGAATAGACATATCCCCCGAGTTTTCATCTTTGCGACAATGGACTCAGGTCTCAGGCTACTTGTAATACATATTCACATGTTTGTTTTCAGCTTATTTTAACATTCAAGAGCCTACAATTCGCACAGTTTGCGAAAATACAACCCTCTGGGGAAAAAAATAACTTATACAGTTATGAATACATTTTTGGGTACATTTATTTAAATGTCTGTAGTATCATTACAAGATGAACATGTATGTATTTCTTGTTGACAACGATCATTTTTTTTGTCTATCCCTATTTTGTTACCACAAAGTGTCTGTGCATGTTGTTTTTTCCTAGTTTTTAAATTATTTGCAGCTTATACAGTTGCATCATCATTAGACCATCCTTACAACTCATTTTAATTTTTGTTTATTTGTTTTGATGCTGCAGTTAAAATAATGACAATCATGATTAAAACTTACTGTATACACTGTCAAGCCATCAGAATTGCAATGTTATGTTATTTAAGCAAATTTGTGATAATATTTTCATACACTGTCATATGAATAGTACATATTTCCTGGGTGTATTTCCTTATGAAAATCAAAGATTTATAGGCTAGGAATTAATAAGTTGAATTAGAATGAGACTTATCCATAACATTGTAAGTTATTCTTAGCATTCAATGAGACGATTATAAACAAGAGAAATATATTAATTTTGTTTTTGAATTTTGTTTGAGGTGCAATAATTCAATATGGTCCTTTGCAAGGGTTCATTTCCCAAATACATGTAAATGCTTAAACAGTAAGATTTAAATGAGAAAGTACTTATGCAGAGTTCAAGACTTTATTTGATTTCTCTTTTCCCCTCTCTCTTTCTCTAGCTATGTAACTATGAGAAGTCAATTTTTTCAGATGTTTATACAATTTTCACTTTGTATATTTTTATTCTATCTAGAACTGAATTTTCTATTTATCATTCTTATAAAAAATTTAATTCAAATTCACTAGTTTAGTTATTTGTTTAATATAATTCCTTTGGGAGGGGTGGGGGGTAATCAGAGACATCTCTCTTTCTCATACACTGTAAATTGATCTCAATAAGATATTATTTTATACAATATGACATTTTATTTTGGTCTTTCATTTGGGCATTCACTTTCTTATCATGAATTTATCATTTAAATTAATAAATTACATACATGTACGAGATCATTGTAAAGAGGAACTAGAATGCTCCAAATATGTATCTCTAAGGTAAAAATATTTAGCTGAAATAAATTGGTTATATTGGTAAATATGAGAACATCATTTGAAGAAAAAGAATAAATAGAAAATATATACAGTACCGGTAATTACTTTTCAGCTTATCTTTGCATGAAAGTGATGATGAAGCACAATACTTTGGCATGCAAGTCTTATTTATTAATATTATTTGCTTCCAAACCGTTTTGTTCAAATTAATGTATCTGATTGATTTATGAACAGATACTTGTAAAAGCCCCAGCTAGCCAATATAAGCCAATATATAAGGAGCTACTTCATGAGATTATTAAGGTTATTTAAGATATCCTTTTAACTTGAAATCAAACAAAGTAGACACTATCTGTCATATTCATGGAGCAATTTTCCAGATTAAGTCCTGATAGTGTTTTCATTTCTTCATTTACATAGTATTCTTGAATTTTCCTGGATTTAAGCACAAATTTGAGTGATGAAAATTATGACTTGTACTGTAAAATCTTGTTTTGCCTGATGATATTTGTAACATGACATGAAAAGATATATTTTGTTTTGTTTGTAAATTTGTACATAAGAAATATCTATATTTCATTTTACAAATGGATTGTATATAATATACCTGTACATGCTATGTTGTAACTTGCTATGTATTACGTGTACTTAACCTTTTCAAGTTATCTCTGCAAATATGTAAAGTATGTATATTTGTGCATTATGTATTATTAAGTATTATTTGATATAATATTTGGTATGCCATGCATGCTGAATGTGAAGGGTTATGCAACTCATTTCAAATGTTAACTCTTTATATTTGACAATCATGTGTCAGTAATATGCATGCCTCAATTTATGTGTGAAGTACATGTATTCTAGGAATGTATGTTGAGAATGAAAAATGAGGCGGTGTCACACAGAAAAATCCCTTGTAAAATCCTTTCAAGGGAAAATTTTCTTGCTTCCTTAGAGGATTTTTATTGGGATAATTGGTGACAGACAGCAATTAAGAGGATAACTAAAATCCGGATTTTTGGCCTCTGTGTGACACCGCCTATGAATTGGAAATCATTTTAGTAAGGCCAGTGCCCTGTTTTAAAAAAGAGTTGCGATTGATTCCTATCAATCATAACTTGAAATTGATAGCAACTGTGTACTTAAGATATAGGAGTGTCAATTGATTTCAAGTTGCTTATGATTAATCAGGAATGGAAAATGTTGAGCTTAATAATACCAGCAAATGACAATTTTGAGTAAGATATCAGTGATAATTTTAAATATTAGACCCCTCTCTGTCCCTCTCATGTATGTCCGTCTCCAATTCTTTTCCCTTTCCACCTCTTTTTCTTACTCTCTGCCATCTCCCATTTCTTGCTTGTCTGTTTCTACCTCTCTCTTCTCCTTTCATCATGTGCATCTCTCTGTTGATCTGTCTCTCATTATCTCCTCTCATTGTACCAGGTATACAACACCTCTTTCTCTCCTTATCTCTTTCTCTCACCCCCTATCCCTTATTTTCTTTCCCTCGATCCCCCATACCTGTATGTATGCCCATCTCTCTTTACATACCTCTCTCCGGTCTCTTTTACAAGGTCTTATTTGACGAGTATCACCGAGCTAGGTTAACATATTAAAGCAATGTGGAGAGTGACGAAGTAGCTGCAATGATGCTCAATGAAGCATTGATCCCTATTGTAATGACCATTTCATGTTTTATCATTTCTTATGCTGAATGAATAAAAGGTGAAAAAATATTCAAGAACTATGCATGAACTTGAACAAGAAAGAACTGGTCTGTTTTTCCTTTTATTGTTCGTTTGTTGCCTTGGTGGTTGTGATGGTTCATGTAATAAACCTTTTTCATTTTTTTCAAACAAAGGAGCGAAAAAACAAGATTAATTGTTGTCAATTAGGGGGAAAAAAAGCAAAACCATTAATTGCAGTGAATTAATTGGAAAATGGTTATTGTTACCATCAGTGAGGTCTGACCACTCGTATATTAGTCGTGTATTTTCAGCATACCATGTCTTTTTTGCCAAGAAATGCACATCTTGGCAAAAATGTATTCACTCGATATCACTATTAGAATGCACACACTTCTGGCTCGTTCAGGTACCTACACGTCTTCACTTAGCTCTGTATAACACAGAAATATGAAGCATATTACACTTTGCATCATTAAAAAATCCACCATGGTTCATATCTGAACGAGGCTCTAGCGGATGAATTGCTACACATAACTCACAAGCACAACCAAATCAAACAAAAGAAAGCTTCTCATTCTGTTTCAACTTTGACATTTTATTTTAGAGATGTGTATCTTTTTTGGTGAAACAATGGTAAGCACACAAGCATTCAACCATCCTGCAACATGATATAAAACTCCTATACCAACATTACATGTAAAGCCTCCTTGGAACTTAATTTTCAATTTAAGATACCTGGTATACACTTTCCAACAATTTTTTTTTGAAAGGCAGTCCACGCTGAAAGTTGTAAAACAAAGGCACATTTTTCAAGTTTGATATTAAAATATCTATCCAGTCAGCTGCTTGAATATTAAGTACTGAATCAGTAATGTGATGTAAATTTTTGACCCCCCCCCCCAAAAAAAAAAGGAAAATAATTTAGCCAATTTCATCGAGTCAAGGACCAAAATTCTTCTATCGTATAATAGTCACTGTCTATTTCACATATGTGAACAACAAAGGACATACATGTATGCAAACAGGTACTTTAAATTTTCATATATTTGACTTGAGCAATATCTCAAGTTGCATAACTGGTGTTTGCTAGTTACTCTATAAAAAAACTTCTGATTCATAAACATCATTATAGTACAAAGACAACAGAACAGGACATTCTCATAAATTTGTCCCCAAAATATGCAAGAAAGAGACTTATTTGGAAGCATTTTAGTCACATTTATCACAAAACTGAACAACTGTGGAATGCGTAAAACAAATATCACTGTGTTAACCAAAAGAAAAGAAACAAATGCATTTTCTTTACGAACATTTTCTAACTTGGTCAGATAATATAATTTCCTCTCATTATTTTCAGAGTTACTATATAACATGATTTTATCACTTATTGAATTATTTGCATCTTAATTTTTCATTCTTACAAAAAGAAACAATGTCATCCCACTCAAACCATACAAACATATCAAAAGAATAATTAGTGTGTTTTTCATAGATCCTGGAATAATAATTATAATATAAAAAAAAGAAAAACACATGTATCTTATATCTTTGTGCTGTGACCTTTCCAACCAACAAACATGCAAAAATAGAGCAAACTGTAAATACACATTTTCAAATACTTTCATATTGATGTAAAAGGAAAATATAATGTTGGTGTTCTTCAGAGTAATCTAAAAATAGACCCCAAATTTGGTGGAAAGGTCACCCAAGTGTTGCGCCCTATGGCTGAGGGGTCAATCGAATGTAGCCCTTTCCGGATGGGACTGCTACCTTCCTATGCTTTGGGAAGAGCTTGGCCGCATCTTCTTCGCTGATGTTTGGAAGGACCATGCAATCTTCGCCAGACTGAAGGAAAGAGACACAAATGGAAGAAAAGATCATGAATCAAACATTATACCTCGTGACAAATCCCCCAATATTTCTACAAAGATGTTCTGAACTACAACAAAACTTAAGATACAAGTAGCAGAAGGGATAATGCCACACAAAATTTGAACCAAAAAATAATTCCCCTTTTCCTTATTCTAATATCTTTATCTTCTTATTATAAAATTGTTTGGCAGGACCATGCAATCTTCGCCAGACAGAAGGAAAGAAACACAAAATGAAAGAAAAGGTCATGAATCAAACATTATACCTCTTGACAAATCCCCCAATATTTCTACAAAGATGTTCTGAAATACAACAAAAGTTAGGATACACATAGCAGAAGAGATAATGAGACACAAAATTTGAACCAAAAAATAATTCTCCTTTTCCTTATTCTCATATCTTTATCTTCTTATTATAAAATTATAAGACTATGTTATACATTCTATAAAGTAACACAAAAAATTGAGCATCTTGTTTATTACCTTCCAATCTGCTGGGGTCGCGACCCTTTTAGTAGCCGTCAGCTGGAGAGAGTCAATCACACGTAGGATCTCACTGCAGATAAATGACATAAAAGCGATGAAATATGAATACATCTTGGAAGCACAGATTTTATTCATCTTATTCATAGATTTATTTCATATACATGGATTAAAAGCAGACTAATTTATTCAGTAACAAATCTGGTCTTCCATAAAGCTCTCATACATTGTTTACACAACAAATACATGTACAGGTGTATTTATAAACAAAAGATTAAATACATACAGTGTTGTAAATGGAAAACATGACTACAAAATAAATCAAAGCAATTAAGAAGAAGAAATTAAAAAGAAATAAGCACAAGAACTTGAAACCCCTTACATCAAGAACAAAACATGTTTTGGTAACTGGTTCACTTTATATGCCCTTTTTACCTTGTACAAAATTCTGCCTTTTGACCAGTTGATTGTGAATGAATTTTTCAATATACCATTACTACCAGTAGCACTACCATTCATGACTTACTCAAAGTTTCTGCCAGTTGTAGCTGGATACAGAAGGGAAAGCTTCAGTTTCTTGTCGGGTCCAATGATAAAGACCTAAAAATAGAGAAAATGAAATTACAATTATTAAGTATTTGACGTCACTTGTGCCTGGGATTCAAAAAGTGAACTGAAGCACTGTAACCAATCAGGTCTCTCTTCCCGGTATAACTGATTGGGGATGTGTAGGTGGACCACTACAGTCCGGGGTTTCCCCTACTCTTTAATACACAAATAGTGCAGTGGGTTCTTAACGTACTAAGAAGGTGGTGATCCTCCTCTACATGGGGCCACCATTAACAATTCTATGATCCATGGGACTAACTGTTTTCCCCCGTTTCATAGCCTACGCCTATGATACAGCGGAGGGCAAGTTAACACACAACGCAGGCTTCAGTCATCCACCTGGGTTGTATTCGAACCAACAATCTTTGGTTTGACAAACAGACACTTTGCTGACAAAGCCGACTCGCCTCCCCCCCCCCCCCAGCCCCCAAACAAAAACAACAAACAAACATGCCATTACAATTTATAGTCATGACTTATATGATAAAAATAATAATAATGAGTATTTATGAAGGGCCATATCCATTATGTAAAATACTCTGGTGCAGGGAGTGTACAAGAAAAATATAATCTTTAACTAAACCTAAATCGCAATACAAAGTACATAAACAATATAATTCAGTGTAAAAACAGAGCACATCAAAATGTTGACATAAAAATAAAACCAAGGAAATATTCATGGATGACTAGGAAACAAATATAATAATAGATTGCCCTAATTCCATAAAATCTGATTTCAAACATCAGACAAACAGTATTTCTTTGGATCACATTCTTCTAATTCAGATAAACCAGTTCCTGGGTCCAAGACCGCGTTTAACAAAGGAAAAGTTTGACCTCAGACACGACCTCCCACTATCTTCCTTTGTCTAACCCAATTTTGAACAAAACCAAGCCAAGCATCTGGGTTTCAATTTTATGGGTACGAGTACAGGTCATGGCGTGATGCAGTCTTTGTGAGATTTAAATGCTTTTATTCTGGTGATGACCACATGCTTTGGTGGTCCATGCAAGGTTCAGTTGTACATGTACATGTATATCCTTCATTTGTGCCACATAGTGACAAACAATATATTGTCAATTGTCACAAAAAATTCATGCATACAGTAAACCAAATGTGGACTTTGTACTCGTGGAATTATTAGGGTATAGCTTGCATTGTTTTCCTGTGGTTTCTTTTTAATAGGTAGCTTGCCAAAATGCAGTGACATGAAAAGATACATCTGGAACGGCGCAAAATAATAATACTCAATGTCACAGGTGAATACGTAATTGTACAATAACATCAAGCAATATGATTTTAAAGAAGATAAAAATGTCTAATTATTGCTCTTGGGGCAGTGCCTACACCCAAGAATGTGTTCAAATTTTAGTACATGTAACCAGGCATAACTCAAAACCACCAAAAGTTGCCGGATATGATTATTTTTCCTAAAAGAGGAGATTCTCAGCTTTAAAAAATTATATATAACTTATTACAGTTGGATGTTCCTAACCAAATTAAAAATGAAAATGTCCCGTCTTTATATATAAAATGTTTAAAATGGCACCTTTAAGATTTATGCATTACATTTGTTTTAGGAAATGCTAAAAAGTAAAAATTTGACCGACCTGACCAAATGCGCATCTTCATTGAGCACTAATAGAAAATCACAACATGCTACTGTTCGTTGGTTATGTGGTGCGCGCATGGTCACATATAGAATATGGGACATAGGGTTTAAAGACAAACATGTAGGCTCCAGCAAAAATCCTTTTTTTTTTGGGGGGGGGGGGGGGCAAATCATTCCTATCTTGGGCCCTCCACAAAGTAATTTGATGCTTTATTTTGTTATATGCTTGCGTAAAAGCAAAATGAAATGCCTTTCTAATTTGCTGGTTACGGTTGGCTGCATATACACTGTATAGCAATGGGCCAAGCTTGTTAAGGAAGAGGGGAAGCAAAATATTGTAAAGGAAATGTTTGCACATTGGCATTGCACCAATACCACATGTGCACGTAATACATGTAAATGAACTCATTGTGGACTATATGGGTTGTTTGTGTATCGTTTGTAAATTTGTACAAGGCGATAAATGTCTGCCGAAATCTCTAAAGACCAATTGATTTATGTATTTTATAATAGTCGTATATCTACACTGTTTGTATAATGTACAAAGTGACTTTGCAAAATAATTTATATATCATTTATTTCCTAAATTAGTCAATATTTTTTTTAAAACATTATATGGTGATAAAAAAATTGACTTCCATAAATTTCTTCAAATCCATGCTGTAAAAATGTACAGATTCACCACAGACTTTGAATTACCAAACATTCACACATATGTACCAGCATGCATGAAGAATATACAGTAGAGAGAAAAAAGCTTTTGCTCAAATAATGGCCTTGAAGTTATTTGCTCGACCAACCACTAGCTTTGCAGAAGACGTTACACTCTACCAATTATGCAAGATGCTACCTCAGCACAAATAAGGATTATCAACACATAACAGCTACCGCGTAATATTTGCTGAAGTTTCGTAATCTATTAAGACTTCTTTAAGTCTGTAAATAACAAAGATAGAAGAGCTGCCATGCGATTGGAAGTTTCTAGAATGGTGTAGTAAACAGTAATGCTAATAAATTGGTACAAAACCATTTAGACCATCTAGCCATAATCTTGACTGTGTTTTTTTGGTTTTCCTGTGTTTTTATAATTCTATGCCTGGGCTTAACTTCGAATGGGCAACCATGATATGTTACTTTTATTGCTACATTGTTAAATTAAAATGTTATGTCTCTGAAAACAATATACATGATCAAGAATTTTCTTAAAAAGTTGGAGAAAAAAGTGACCCATTTTGGTAGAAAAACAGTGATTTCTAATTTCTTAACATGTTGCCAATTTAAAGATTTTAAGGCTTATTTTCCTTTCAAAAATTTCTGGCATCAAATGCAGTATACGGTAGTCATTTACAAAATTGGATGCATCATATACACACATGTACATGTACATGTATATGCAGAAATGTTTGCCCTAATTTCTACTCATACATCTGGCATATTTTTCAAAGCTCCGAATCACAAATTATGGAGCCAAACCACAAAATGTGGAATGATTGTTGCAAAAGGGATATATGCAATCTACCTTAGGTTTTAATTAAAATAAATTCATAGGGCGAGTCTCATGAGGCCACTATTAAACCATAACTTCAACTACACGTTGTTCCTAGATTTGGAAACTGGGTTTCAGAGTTGCAGATATAATCTAAACTAGTACTTTTAAAATACTCCTGAGAAAGTGTTGATTTTCTTGGAACAGTCGCAACACCATTATACTTTTCCCCCCACATACAGATATGTCCAGGGTATACACAGAAACTCTGTGACCGGACATGTTGTGTATCTGTGTATCTGGACCATTGATTTAAAACAGAAATTTGAAGAAGTTTACATGCAATATTTCATAAATCTTTTACAACTTGGGTTAATTAAACAATATTATAAAGGATAAATATTCATGATCGTTACTCCATTTGATGCATACGTCTCGTAAATCCAAAGGCTAAAGTCGTGGCTTTTTTTTTGGATAAGCATCCAGACACAAAGCTCCCTATCATATTTCCCATACCTTACAAATGTACATACCGGTATATTACTCATTGAAATACAGAATTGTGAACATGAATTGATGAAAAAATATATCTTTTTATTCTGATTCAAGCTCTAGTCTGGCCATCAGCTTGATAGTACAGTCATCAGAACAATCAGATATACTGAAATCTAAGATGTGGTCAGTTATGGGATCAAATAGCTTGGACTTGCCTAGAAACATCAGCTGACCGATTCCACAATGATTTCAGTTAAGGCTCGCTCAGATATGGCATGGGAAAACGCCATGTTTCTTTTAAAAGTGAAATGAATGGCAACTGTGTGCACTAAAGGACGTGTTTGTATGAACCAAGCTCAAGATTACAAGATTTGGAAATCTGACACGTATTACAATTTCGGTAATCTTTTGAAAAAATGCCAGTTTTGCCATGTCATATCTGAACGACCCTTGAATAGGTATCATTATCGCTCCAAGACCGGAGGTGAACTTGCCCCTCTGATACTTACACATCGAGCGGTCAGTGCGATTCCTGCACTGTCCTTCTCGTCAGGGTCGAGCATACCAAACTGGACAGCGAGCTCACGCTTGGGGTCAGCTATGATCGGGTATGGCCACGTCTTCTCAAACTTGGCATAGTCTACGATGTCCTGCATTACCACATGGGAAAAAAGAAATTGTCATCATAGCATGACCTTGAATGACCTTCAGGGAATATCAGAGATGAAAATAAAGAGGACGTAAATCCAGGATTCCTACAGAAATTTGAGAAACAAATCTCATGAATTTCCATGACCCATTTTTGCCTTGTTTCATGACTAGATAAATACCATTTTGGAATGGATTGTGCAGCATCCAAGTGGTGTATGAATACCACGCCTATTGTCAGTTCAAACTGGAAGGCTGCCATAGCCACACACACCCCAAACCCACTATCTACATGTAATTCCATGACTTTCCAGAACAATATTTATAGACAGGTTTCACTGCACATTAAATGTGAGCATGCACCATGCAGAGCAATCATCCAAGCAAGAAAAAAGTTACCTCATGTCATTGTTTCTTTTCTTTTTTTCTTCCCTAATTTTTGTTCTTACCTTGATCCATCCCCTATGGCTTTCGACACCATCACAGGACAGAGCGATCAGTTTGACACCACGCTTCTCAAACTCGGGTGTCAAAGTGGCAACCCTCCCCAGTTCAGTGGTACAGACTGGCGTGTAGTCAGCAGGGTGGGAGAACAGGATTCCCCAACTATAAAACAGGGGTGCAATGTATAGAAATATGGAGTAAATTTTTAACATAAACAAATTGAAAGTCATGCATGTTCACAGCTTAAAAGCAATGTTGTTCGATACACGTTGTTGCCCATAATGTTTGAATAATTTTCTTTACTTCCCATCATAACATTTTTTTAACAACTAATTTGTGATAGATTTGAAGAAGAAAAAAATCTTCTCGGGGCTTTTTTGATCAATCTCTATAAGAAAGTATAACTCTTTACATTGATCAATAAAGTTCTGAAAAGAAATTCTGAAAAGAAAATGTATAATTATAAAATTTATCCATCTAGGGGAGTGTTTCACTAAGACTAAGATCGACTTTAAATTGGACTTACTATGGCAGGCCATTTATGCCACTGGTTGCTCTCACCATTCGGCTCTCAATCATGATCTTTAGATAATCTTTTTTCCTTCCATAATGAACAATTAAAAGAGGTAAATTATGTAGCTTTGTTTGTGACCAATACGAGTACATGGTGAGAGCAAACAGTGGCATTTAAAACAGCCTGCCAACTTAAAGTCGATCTTAGTCTTTGTGAAACACTCCCAAGATCATTTATCATACATGTTGTCACACTCATGTCATGAAAAGAGGTGAAGACAAATTACCACCTTACAATTAGAAGCAACAGTGTAGATAGTAATATTTGCAACATTCACACATTTTTCTGAGCTCATTCGTGTAAAACATTCCAGCTTAACAACTCAGGGCCAAAGTTCAACACACATATCGTATGTTACCGGTAGTCTAGTTTTTCAGCCTCCTGATCCTGCTGGATTTCAGCTCCTGTTAAATGAGCAGCCAAGTTTTCACTTTCACGTAGCCTAGGCTAGCGCTATAGCACCTCTCAATTTGTTACTCTAGATCTACAGCCTACAGGCCTATAGATTATAGATAATATTCTCTTTAACTTCAATGTCTCTGTCTGCCATTGACTGCACGTGCACCCATCCCAGTATAGCTTCCAGAGTGAGCTGCAATATGAATTAATACATCAAGGTTCGAGATATAGTCAGAGTAGATTCCAGTGTACCAGGGAGTGCCCACTGGGAGCGGGAGGCGGAGCGGTATACATGTACATACACGGTAGATGGGCCGTCCTTGCATTGAAACCAAAACATTATTTTAGAACATTGCCATGAGATACTTACGAATTACCAAGCCAATCATGGAACTTGATTGTTCCATCGCTGGTATCAGCGTCAAAATTAGGGAATATATCACCAAGGTTCGGCATGGTTACAGTTTAATTTAAGAGGAGAAGGCTGGAAAGTTGGAGCTTCGAAGTTCGATCCCACGACTAACACGGCTACCAATGACGACGCGTGCGCTTAAATGTGCGTGCATAGCTGCCAAAGAGATCGAGAGCATGCGAGTACCTGGTACGGTTCGTTAATGCGGGGCGCAGGTGGGCGTGGTCATTTCCAAATGAAGATGACATAAACCTAAATTTTTCAACACCCCCTGCCTGTATGGCTCGATCTGAATGTTACGTAAAAGGAATCGAAATAGACTAGCCAACAACCAAACAAGCAAACAAATGGAGCAAGTGTGCTACTGCTCCGTCCGCGAGATTGGTATAAATCAGTTGCACGCCCAAGCATAGGGAAATCTGATCATGTAACTGTTCATTTACTGCCGAAATACAAACAGTTAAAGGGATAGTTGAGTTCTGTTTTCAGACCGCAAATGCCTTCAAAGTGCATGGTTGTTGCTCTTATTCCTATCTATGACATTTATAGTGCCCTTTTTAGAACCTAAAATTGCTATGAAGGTAGTTTTAGACCCCAAAATGTGTGAAATTTAGCCAATACGAACGATCATACCAATTCAGCTCCACTTTCAAAAAAACACGCTGACCGTTGAATAATTATTTAATCAAAAATAACAATACATCAGCCGGCTAATTGTGGGTAATATAAGCAACAAGAAAATGCCAACAAAAAATCGTAAAGGCGTTATTTCGTTTTTTTTCAACGATTTTTTCAAATTTTTCAAATATCTAATATTTGTGGTGGCCGGTACACAATTAGTATTAGAAATCGTTAAATTTCAGCCGTCTCTGAACCGATTTTGATCAAACAAAGATGATTTTGTCATTTAAATATTACGTTCTTTCAAATTTGACACTCAGTTTTTCATTATCTCACAAAAAAATTTTGTGTAGCGCCCTCTGCAACAGAACTCAACTATCCCTTTAATCAAACGAGGTTAAGAAAGTGAAAATAGTGGGATGAGATCCTGAGATTGCAATCAAGAATCTTCAAACCTGTTTCGATATTTACTGACTGGGACATGTTAATATCAAGTGCTGTTAACTAAGATGAAGCGGTGGAAATTGTGAATGGTTACATATTATTTTGTCAAGATTTACATGTTTATAATGAAAATGTCAAAATATTTCCGAATCAAAACTCCTGGGTTAAGAAACAGTTAAAAGATTTGTTGAAGAAAAAGAGAAATGCCTTTTTGAGAAACTAAGAAAATGATCTCAAAAATTTGAACAAGGAAATTAAGACAGAAATAGAAGAAGCAAAAAGTGTATACTAGAAAAAACTTGAAAATGCATTCCGAACAAATAATACTAAAAAATGCATGGAAATGTATGCGAACAATGACAGGGTGCAAAAAGAAACAAAATACTATTCGAGACTTTGCAGGAGGTAATTTGCATGACACTGCAAATGAGTTGAACAGATTCTATGCCCGTTTTGATACTAAAAGTTTTAATGATGAGATAGCTATATACAATATGTACAGAGTTGAGGAATGAAGACTCTTCCCCAATGTTGTGAGCTAACAGATGTTGTGAAATATTTCAAGAGAAGCAACCCTAGAAAAGCAATGGGACCCGATAACATCTGTGGAAAATTGTCAAAAGTTTGTGCGTATAGCAACTAGCAATGCCAGTTCACACTATGAACATGACGGACAATGAAAGCGGACAAAATATACAGTTCCTCAGGTAGACAAAGGAACATCCCTTCACTGCTATTATGTAAACATGTGTAGAACAGGTGTCACATGCATATTCACCTGTTCTACACATTTTTACATAATAGCAGTGAAGGGATGTTCCTTTGTCTACCTGAGGAACTGTATATTTTGTCCGCTTTCATTGTCCGAGATGTTCATAGTGTCACACGTACTCTTTTTCATGAATCTCTCGATCAAAACTATGTGCTCAATTGCTGAAAGTCACTGAGCTGTTGTTATCCCAGCAGCCAGTCACCTTAAGCTTCCCAGCCAAATGATTTCAGACGTACCAATAGGCTATTTTCGTAATGTAACCAAATGTAATAGATAAGTCTTTGTGAAGTGCCTCAATACAAATTATTTCATTCACCTGATAAGAATAATAGTATTTCAATAGTCAGAATGCAAACTGCATATAAGTGTTGCTAGGTAGGTCAAGCCATAATGTTTGCCCAACCTGGCAACAACTAATGTACAGTTCGGATTCTGTCTATTGAAATACTATTATTCTTACCAGGTGAATGAAATAATATGTATTGAGACACTTCACAAAGACTTATGCATTAAATTTGATTACGTTACATTACGAAAATGGCCTATATATAGCCCTCACTTCACTGGTTATGAAAAGTTTTGAAAGGGTTGTACTGGAATTCTTACTCCCCAGTGTGTTAAAGGATATTGATGTTATGCAATTTGCATACCAACCAAAGAAATGTGCATGTAAACGATGCTATACTTTCACTAATACATTTTGTCTCACAATGCACTTAACGCTGGTTGCTATGTACGAATTTCATTCATAGATTTAGGGGGGGGGGGGGGGTTCGTCGCCCCCCGTATGTCCGCGCCTGAGTGACACCCACATAAACTAACCTTATTTATTACCGAACAAAAATAAAGAAAGAGCCCCTCGACACCATAGGTCTAAGTAATCAGCCAGTTGCTACCCCCCCCCCCCCACCAAAATAAACTTTAAAAGTGAATTTTTTGTTCTAATTTGATGCCAGTGATTTCTTTAAAACCTTTATTTTATGAAGGCATACTCGTGATATCGGCCCCACAACTGTTGTAATCGATTATACTTTTGTACGTGGCTTCGTACATCAACCAACTCACTACTAGTATATACTCGTGATACAGGCCCAGCTCCAAGTATTTGGGGGCGTTTCGAGGTTTAATGAAGGAGTTAAATGGGAAATAAAAGTGATTACAAATGGGGTTGAAAGTGAGTGGGGGAGGCTAGAGTATTTAAGATAAGGTAGAGCGTAGCACAAATTGGCGGATGCTCAGGGGGTAGGGCATTTAATTACGGTCAGATGAGCATATTTTAATACCTTATTCATAACACTGGCAGGTCACTAATTGGCGTATGGTCCAAGGGGCGGAGTCCCCGGAAGCGCAGGGGTTTTAGGCTTTAAAATTAAAGTCAGATTAGCATCCAGGGGCCAGCCTTAGGTCCCAAGGTGGGGTCCAGGGGGCAGAGCCCCCGGAAGCACAGGGGTATGGGCATTTAATTACGGTCACATGAGCATACTTTCTTTTCTATTTCTTTTTATTTAATTCTCTGTAATATACTTTTTCAAAAGTGTGTGTGGGGGGGGGGGGGCTTGAGCCCCCAAGCCCGCCGTAGTAGGCCTCTAAATAGTAAATAAGCACATTTCTTGCCTGACTGTAAATTTTGAAATTTGTCATTCTCCCACAAATGCATAAAAAGTATAATTTACTAAAAAGTGTGGAAAAATCCCGGAAAATTAGACCGTTTCAGCAGCATCTGTAAATCACTGGCATCAAATTAGAACAAAAAATCACTTTTAAAGTTTATTTTGGTGGGGGGGGGGGGGGTAGCAACTGGCTGATTACTTAGACGTATGGTGTCGAGGGGCTCTTTCTTTATTTTTGTTCGGTAATAAATAAGGTTAGTTTATGTGGGTGTCACTCAGGCGCGGACATACGGGGGGCGACGAACCCGCCCCCCCCCTCCTCTTTGAAAAAAAGGGGAAAGGAAAGAAAAAGAAAGGAAAGGAAAAAGAAAAGAAAGAAGGGCTAAAAACACGAGTTAGAAGTGGACCGATCAGGGCGCTCACTTATCCGTATCAGGGGAAAATACACGGGGGCTCGGGGTGAATCAGCCCCCGAAATGCCAAAAAGAGCCCCCGAAAGTCATACAAGTAGCCCCCGAAATTTTTAAAGTATTTTTCCCCTGATCCGTATATAGGACAAGGCCCTGGGGCAGCTAGCCATACTCCGATATTTGGGTCGTTTTCCGATCAGAACTAGCCCTAACTATCATTCCAGGATTCGAGACAAAGTCACCCAATCCCTTTAAGTTTCAAAAGTAGACTTCATTGACCTGTACATAGGCTTAGGAACCGGGGGTGCTTGGGGGGCACAGCCCCCCCCCCCAAAAAAAATATATATATTGGGGGGCTCAGATATCATTAAGCCCCCCCCCCCCCCCTCCCCCAATATTTCGGCCGGGCTCGGTTATCATGAGCCCCCCCCCCCCCCTCCCCAATATTTTGTTCGTGCTGATGAGTTGAGGGAAGTGTATGCCGGAGATATTGACTTTGTAGCATTAACTCGGCAGCTAACAAACCTCCAAGACGTGTATGACGATGAGAGCCTGTTTCAAATCGAGCAAAGCTAGGTTCCATGCAATCGAAACCGGGCTGACCAGATTAAACTTTAAAAAAGCAGAAACACGAAGTTGAAAACCATCCAGAGACTCCCAATAAATTGCGTTACTTATTAATTAATTATTTCATTACAAATCTTTATTCTCATTTTTCTAATAAAGACTTTAACTGATTTTCTTATAAAATTGAAGATATTTATGGCGTATATATTCAATATGAATGAACGCCACAAAACATTTACCAACAACAACAACAACGATGAGAGGAAACCTATCAAATACATTAAAACAATCTGTGAGATTTTCAACAACAGTCCAATCTATAAAAGATCATTCTCAGAGGTACACATTCTTCTTCTCATTTACCTTACCATCCCGGTTACAACGGCAACTTGCGAGAGAACATTCTCTGTCTTGAAAGGGATCAAAACTTATCTGATAAGTACAATGACACAAAGAAAGCTCAACCAAAGCTTAATATTACTCATATATAAATCTCGTACAGATAAACTGGACTTGAAAAATATTGCCCAAAACTTTGTTTCCAGGAACACAAGAAGACAAAACTTCTTTGGCACATTTGTCTGAGGCTGCATGTGCACCTCAAAGGAAGAAAAGTCTGAAATTTTTCGCCGCGATGACATAGACGAGGAACAAAGAATTTATTTACAGGTGCAAATTAAAGACAAAGGAGGATCTCAGAAGTATATTTTTTGGGTGGTGCCA